GATTTTTATAGCCTGAAGTCAGAAACTGGTATGATGGAAGCATCTGGTCAAGGAGAGAGAATAGGGAGGGAGAGGTGGTTTGTCTGTCATTTGTTTTTCTGGCAGGTCAACTTCTTTAACCTATTCACCCCGTGCCTGCGTTGCCACTGAATTCAATGGAAAGGAAGCTAGCAGGTGCACGTAGCAAGGGGGAGTGGGATTATATGGAATGTTAAACTCACCCTCAGGCTAGATATTAGGGTAATTTGCCTCATGCCAAGAACAGTGAAGAACTGAAATAGTTGTCTAAGGAGTACAAAATTTACTTCAGTGGTGACTTTTCAAGAACAAACTAGACGCACATCTACTGGGAATAATCCTGGTGCAGTCTGGCCTTCTGCCTTGGCCAGGTCAGCTTGATCACTTGATCAACTTCTTGAAATACCATCCAGTCCTATTTTCTGTGATTCATGCAACTTCTGGAGTAGATACAACCAATAAACATGACATAATCTTTTATGTTATATTTTAAAAGTATGGCCCACTTCCCGTGTAGGTTCTTCGGTGACTGGACCTGGTATATGGAAGACAAAGAGGAGTAGTGATCTTGAGCTTTGTCTGCAATCAGCAAGGTTAATGTGCTTTAGAACTGCAGTTTTAATGTCCTGACTAATGCAAATTTTCAAGTAGCCCACAAGAGCTCAAGTGTGTTTCATGTAGATACTGTTTGGACTAGATTTGCTTTTGACAAGGGTATGTTCTGGCCCTCTTTGAACCATTTTAGGCCTGAAAAGACCAGACTTCTCTTCCTGTGCCTCTCTGGTTTTGAATGTAGAAGCAGGTTTGACCCATAATGAGCACTGAAGTACATGACTAATTAAATATTTTTCAATGTGGTTCCTTTCTGAAAAGTAACTATAGAATGACACTGTATGATTCTTAGTTGGGTCGCACAAACTTTCTTTTCTAATTGTCAGTCTTGCACTTCTAAATTGAATCTGCAAAATAAGATGAAAGTGAAGCTATTTCCACTTTGTAGATGTCAGACTTAATACTTCTGACACCATGACTGAAAAAATTACAAATTCAAGACTCTACGTGGGGCTTCAGTTTCTAGAAAATCCACGTGTGGAATCTGGTTGACTAAGGTATTTTTGCATGAGGCCATATATCTGAGTTTCCCAGATATGTAGTAAACCTGGTGCTGTTGATGTATGCACTGTATCATGTCAAGAACATGATGTACACAGTTGTCTTTTGGGGAGGATTGCAAACTTATTACAAGTTTGTGCAGTGGGTCCAGCGGTTTTTGAAAAGTTGAGTGGCTTCACTTGTTGTGGAATTGATGTATATGCACAATAGATTCACCGTAAGTTGAAAGCATTTTAGTTAATATGCATTTGCTGATCTACTGCACAGAACAAGTGCTATACGCCTGGAGTTTCCTGTGATTCTCAGACTTGTAACTTATGTTGCCTCGTGTGCATGCACTTTGGGTCTGATTAATAAGGAAGGGTTCCTTTCTGCAGAGCATAAAAGCTCTGTGCATTCATATTTTCTTGATTCACCGTAAGTTGAAAGCATTTTAGTTAATATGCATTTGCTGATCTACTGCACAGAACAAGTGCTATACGCCTGGAGTTTCCTGTGATTCTCAGACTTGTAACTTATGTTGCCTCGTGTGCATGCACTTTGGGTCTGATTAATAAGGAAGGGTTCCTTTCTGCAGAGCATAAAAGCTCTGTGCATTCATATTTTCTTTGCTGTTGTGTAGCTGTTTTTCCCTACACGTGTGTACACCCCTCCCTCCTTCCCTCTTACTCTCAAGTCGGGTTTTGGTAATGGAGATTGCATTTGCTGGTTTGCACTTTTCTTGGTTTCAGTCATGTAAGGCTTTTCTTGGGTATATTTGCCTGTGACTTAACACTTCTTATTGTCTTGTATGAGAATGTAGAGTCTGGTGAAGTGTCTTTCTGCCACAAATTCTCTGTGGCCCAACAGATTGGGTAACTTTTTCTTTCTGGTGGAATTGGCCTAAAATCAGAAGTATTTCTAGAGTAGCTGAATTGGAGTTAGAGGAGAACATGCTTTCAACCCAGTTAACATTGTCATTTTACTAAACTTTTATGTCTCAGTGGGTTATGAGAGGAATACATCTGAGGGGTGAAACAGGTGTAGAAGTTCTCTGCAAGACAATGGAGAAGGAACAGAATTGCTTGAGTGTGGGGAGCATTTAAAAGCTCCTCAACTGTGGAATGTGCCACATAGGCAAACATAGTTCTTGGACTACTGTAGTGTTGGATACTCAATAGTGTTGCCCTTTGTACCAAAGTCTTACGGAGATCTACACATCTGGGAAGAGACATTGGCAGTCAATAGGAAGAGTCGTTTCCAAGGTGGAGGCAGAGGAAACAACGCTGAAGTACAGGAACTTATGAAACAGAAGGCAGTGGCAACATTTCGCAAAGACTTTTCTGCACAGGTTGTAACTTATCCTGCTCCTGCCATACTGTATATGTGCTGGCAACCACAGTAATGTTTGTTTTCTATGGATATATTCATTATTTTTGTTGTATCAGGACAGTGGTTGGTGGAAGTTATTATGAGTTTGCTGTTAAAGTGAGACACCTAGGTGGCTGTGCTGTCAGGTAGGAGGATGTGTAGACTTAGGACAGTGGTTTTACAAATTGGTTTGCTATGATAACAATTGACAACAATATGCTAGTAAGTTTTGCCCTGAAGTGTCTTTTACAGAAGGCAATAAATGTAGTCTGATAGAAGAAATGTTGGTGTTTACCAGCTTTAAACGTTGCTGCAATTCTTTTCCAGGTAGTGATAACATTAAGAGATGGCTGTTGGCAGCTTTGGGAAGTAACCACTTTATATGTGATAATTATTTCTTGATTCTTGATTAATATGGTCATATGTTTCAACAGTCATGTCTTTCTGTGTCTTCTTATTACGAGCTCATCAGCAGTCACTGGGGTGCAAATATAGCTTTCCTATTTCTAGACAGAAAGGAATATAAGCTTCTATCAATTTAGTTGACCATGAATTACCACAAGTTTTTGGACCCATCGGATTTGACTCATTCCCAGTAGTTACCAAATGCATCACAACTCTTTTTCTTGGGAACTCTTGTTTGCTCTGTCAGCTGTACTGACAAAGTGTCATAAAATCTGTTGGGAGACTTTAAGGCTGAGAGACTATTAACTTATAGGATGTTTGACGTAACCTAGTTCCATGGGAAAACTTCTTAATAGCATCATATGATGTGAAAAGTTTAAGAAATCTGATTAACAGTAGTAATGAATTGTATTAATGCGTATACCTTTCCTATAAGCAAACAGCAGACCAATGAGTTTTGATTTCTTTTTGTCTCTATTTCATGCTGTGCTGGTTTAAAAGCAAATTAGTGAGAGACTCCAAGTCAGAAATACAATTTAATAGGAAAAACAAAACAATAAATGCAACTGTACAAAAAGAAACCATTGACAGAGTCAGAAAGCAACCCGACACCCTGTCAGTCAGGGTGTTGGTAGTAGTCCGATTAAATGGTGGCTGCAGTCGTTCTGGAGTGATGGTTCTGTTGGAGCAGTGATCCTGTAGATCTGGTCTTCACCTGAAGGTCCAGTGGTAGCTCTTGTCCTCTGGAAATCCAGTAGGCAAAGGGCTCTGTGCTGGTCCATGTGGGAATGCTTGGCTCCTCCCCCTTTGGATGAAGCATCTCATAATGGGAGGATGTAATTCTGTGGGTCATGCCTGGGTCCCTGACAGCCCATTAAACAGAGAGAGCCCCTGAGGGAGCCATCAGGGATGAGTAGGAGGTAACGATCACTGCCTCACCTGCTTTAACAGCTTGTGGAGATGATAATAGAATACCTACTATTGGCTACACCCTACATTGTAACCTAGGACACATGCCTTTTTCCTTCTGGACAGCAGCTCAGAAGGCTCTGAGTTTATGCTTTTGTGCAAAGAAGCAGTAAAATATTGTAACTGAAATCAGCATGTGTCTAGTGGCACTTTTGACTAGTGATGCTATTCTCTTTCATTTGTTGTTAAAGACACACCAAAACTACTTTGAGTCTGACTTGAAGAAGCTTTATTCAGATTTTACAGGCATTAAAAATTACTGTTGAGAATGCTGTCCAATACAATAGTATCTTGATTTTTTTCCCTCTTCATAGTAAATACTGGTTTAATGCAATTGGATCTCAAACAGTCTGATGTATATTTTATATCTGACTGTTTACCAGACAGAGAAGGAGGCACTCAAATATATTTGTGTATAGAGCTCTGAACTGAGAATTGCATCTAGGCAAGCAATTAGAAGTATAGCAGTATGTACAGCAAGATGTAAAAGCAAGAGAGGGTTGAACTTTTGTTCAGTTACTTTCTTTGTCAGGAGTTCACCTCAGAAATGTCTGTCTTAATCTTTACAGATCTAGAAGCATGACATAATTGTGCATACTGAAGATTTCTGAAAGCTGCACTAAAACCTTCGTATGGCCACTTGTCAGTCCTGTAGCCAACCTATGCTATGAAGGCTTTGCAAAGGCTACTGGAGGAGATATAGTTGTCGGTGAAAGAGGGGAAAATGTTCCTGTTTTATGAATAGCATAAGCAATGCTCACAACAAGGAGTTGGTGTAGAAGCATTTTGCCAACATGCATGTTGATTTGGCATGTAATTCATCTATTGCTTGCTACAGAGTTTTATGTAGCAGTAAATTTCTGAGTCTCCAGGTTGCTATAGGTTGTCACTATGTGTTGGCAGCATGGTAGCTGTTTTATTGCTGATTCCTCTGTTTTAATTAATTTTAATTGAATACCTGACTGCACAACATCTTAATGTAAATGCGTGTCTGTATGTCCTAAAAGGTATACATTTTTAATGCTAATTAGGGTTTTAGCAAAGTCTTTGATGAATAGCTGCAGAGTTAAATGATTTGTCTGTCATCAATTTACACATGGCTCAGGCAGTAATGCACATTTCCTTTCTTTCCTCTAGGAGGGGATGACCGCCGGGTCTTGCTTTGGCATATGGAAGAGGCCATCCACTCAAGAGTCAAACCTGTTCAGCTGAAAGGGGAGCATCACTCTAATATCTTCTGCCTGGCTTTCAACAGCGGCAATACAAAAGTGTTCTCTGGAGGTAAGGAAGCAAGAGCACCCTGGTTTCACAGAAGTATGCATTGTGAATGCCTTGAAGGAGAAGCCAGGAGTGCGATCCTGCCCCACATGAGATCTGGAAGGTGTCCTTAATGAGCAACTGAAGTTTCTTAGGGAACAGGGAATTCCCTAGCTAGCACATTTTCAATTTTGTCATGCTGCCTCTCCCAAACCCTGGTGTAAGCATGTTGTGTCTTGAGCTGTTGTGAGAATCCTGGGTCCAGTCTGCCCCTACTTGTGATACAGACTGATGCTTGAAAATCTTTGTTGCTACTGTCTGATTTTAATGCACCCTTAGATAACTCATGAAGGACTATTGCCATCTATTGGTGGATCACTTTTTCTCAGATCCCATTTCAGTCCTCACTAGGTAAGTCTCTGCCTTTTTGAACTGTTGGCTGATTGGACCCTGATAGGTCTTGATAGTCATCATCTTTTTTGATACCTATCTACTTTTAAATAGAAAATTTAATTCAGTCTTAAAACTAACATAAGGCAAGTGGACATATACCTGTTCTGGAGTAATAAATACCTATCATTTAGGTTCATTTCACCGCTTGATTTTTCAAGTGTTGAGTTAGGGAGGAAAATTGAAGAAAAAGGCACAAGACTGTCAGTGCAGTCAAGTGTCATTTTCTGCTGTACTTCATTTTCCCTATCTGACATGGGAATGGAATGGACAAGAATTTGTATCTTTCATCAGTGTCTCCACTAACATACAGCTAGTCTTCTTTTAGGATATTATGAGACTACTCTCATGTAGGTCAGAGACCTTCATTATCTTTTTGAACCAAGATTTGTGGATGTCAGATCAATGTTTGAAATTGGTTCTGAGTGCATGTCATTGGTGGGAGCTTCCTGTTCTTCCATGCTCTACTAAAACTGTAACATCCCTTAGTAAAAAAGATACATAAAACTTAAGATGGTGTCAAATTTCATGGATTGAATGATTCACAGTTGGAGTAAACTCCAAAAATGTCAAGTAGTGATGCCTGTCTTCTGATTCTGGGGACTGCTGTTTGTTTGATGAGAGAGACAGCAGTTCACACTGTCTTCAAATGAACATATCTGCATGAGTGTTTCCAATGAAATTTTAGGCCGGAGTCTGGTTTACTTTAGTTTGAATTGAGACAAATGGAACCTTAAATGAATATTCAAGGAATGAACTGTGCCAAATCTTGCTGGACGAACTGTAATGGTATTATCTCTTACCCAATTGAGCCCTCTGTCCATCGGGATTTGCTGTCAGAGGCTGCTGTTTTCACAGGAAAGGGAAGAGTGGCTTGGCTGTACCTTGCCACTGGAGTTAACACCTGCAGTTAAGATTTGCTCATTGATTATGGTGGATTTTGTTAGGATGCCGGGTTAGATGAGCTGTGTCAGCTGATGCACAGACAAACTGGCCATTCTCATCTCTTTTTCCTCATCCAGTTTGCATAAAAACACTGTGCTTCTGCCAGAAATTATTTGCATCGGAGGAGTCAGGAGCCCTTTCAGCTGCTCCACCAAGATTCACCGAGCTTATCTGCAAGGGCTGTGAGGCTGACTCTTGGATCCCTTGCAAAGAGTCATTTTGCTGCATAGCTTAGATGTACCATCTGTTTTATCTCTGTCAGTAAAATGGGGCTAGCTATATTTATTCACTCAACAATGTTCTGGTCGATTCTTAAAAGATCTGAAAGAATGGTGGGTCCTAAGATCTACTGGTCATCACACAGACACCCCTACTCACACCTGGATTGGGAGTCGTATTTAAATCATGGAAGTTGAAATACTTAAAAAAAGCCCCAAAACTAAAAATTAGAATATGGAAACTAGCACAAGGCTCACAGAACTCAATTTATTCTGTAAATAAACAACTGCCAACAACTAATGACTTAGGATCTGATGGCCTTTCCCTAAAGCAGCTCTTGAAAACAGAGGAGAAAGGATTTTTCACTTCTGTACAAATTGGATTCTGTCCAAGGAATTTCTTTGCATTGAAGGAGCAAACACCACATGTAGCCATTACAAAATGGAAGGCAGGAACTGAGTGGACAGTGTTTTACATGTAATCTCTAGAGAAAATACAAGATCCCAAAGAAGTCTCAAGAAACCAGGGAAGTTCCTGTCCCTGAAGAATGCTTGTCCACACACACACTGAGAGTAAAGCAGCATTTGAAATGAAAGATCCCCTCTTAGTAAACTGCATGGGAATTTTTTTTGCTTTGGATTTAGTGTTAGTTATATGAAAAGCTGTAATAAACCCACAGGGAACTGAATGTTTCTCTAAGGCCTGATGTGATAGATATGGAGTTTAGACCAACTTAACTGTGCTCTGCTGTGTGTGCTCTGCAGTATTTCACCCTTACAAGTATAAGTGAAGGGAATGACAGGTTCTTCTTGTCTTCCTGACTGTTGTAACTGCAGTTATCAAAACAAGAGAGATTATAAATGGGAGAGTTGTGTATACAATTACAACCCATTTAATCTCAATGAAGAATGAACTCTCCAGTGTTAAACAATGTAAGTGGGAACCCCACTGGGCTGAACAGCAGTGACATTTTCTGCAGGGATGAATCCTTACCAGAACCAACCAAACAGTTTGTGGTTAGATTTTTGTCACCACTTTCTCCTCCCACACACAAAATGGAGAAAAACAGTGGTTAGTCCACACACCCTCTTCTTTCATTCTTTCTTTCCCACTGTGGAACTTGTGATGGATGGGAATGTTGATCCCATGATGATTAGAGGCCTGAAGTCAGGCACCTAGTATGATTTACATGTTCATACTGTGTGGAGAGTGAAGAGCAGGAGTGTCTGCTGGAGGAAATTGTGTCAGTGGAGAAACCAGGCTATGTTTTTCACTGGTGAAATACTCAGACACCAGAGTACTTTTACTAGGTATAAACCTTGTGTGTAATATACAGTGGGCAGTTCCCAGTGACATTAATGGTCAAAGGACACTTACACATAAATGACCTGTTTATTTTACCATAGAAAAGATGAGCTACTGCAGTAGTCTAATTCTAGCATGATTTAAGTAGGAGCCTGTGCAAAGAGCAAGTGGTTGTAGAAAACTCTCATACCTCATTAGTCAAAGAGAAACTCATATTTATTCTATCAAGACAGAATACAACTGAAATGTGTACAGGATAAATGAAAACTGAGTCAACTGAGCAGTTAAGAATCGTAACATGAAATATTGTTCCTTCTGAACCTCTGGTGTGTATTAGGAAAGCTTCACAACTCTATATCACAACCGCACATACAGAGCATAAAAATATGACTCTGCAGGCTTTTTGTTTGTTTGTTTTCTTCTGAATTAAATATAAAAGTGTGAGTGTCCTTAAATATTGCTATAGATGAGGTCCCAAATTTAAGTAAATTGATATTCAGCACAGAGACTAAAAAAATATTCTGTTGCTATTGCTTGAAAAACGTTGCATGAGCTGTTGGAATTACTTTGTGGCTGTGACCCTCTTAGCCTGCATGCATGTGGTTACTTTCCATTGTATTCAGTGGATGTGATCAAAGAAAAGTGACATGATTGCCTGGTTACTCAGTTTGGGTTTTGTTAATACAGAAGAAATTACATTGGCTGTCACCTTCCTGCCTTCTCAATGGTTGCAAAACCCTGAATGCTGACAGTGTTAGCTGGCAGTGTTTGATCTGGGAGCCCAGTGCACTTCACTTGTGACATCTCTTTTCACCTTCCATGATCTTTTTATGGAGCATCCTTTGAGCAGGATGAAAGATGTATTTTCATGAGAGTTAAAAGTGTTCTGCTGCTCCATATAATATTCTTTACTGCAAATATCCCAAAACTCAAGCTCAAACTGAACAAAGAATGATTGGTAGCACAGTTAAATAGAATTATTTGTTGAGCAGTAGCAGATGGAATGGATTGATGCATTTGGTCATGACTGGAAATGTCACATGGAGCCTTTCACATAACTGAGCAGAGGGCTAACCACTTGGCAACTGAGCTGGTCTTCTCTCTGTTTCAGTTTTGGCTTTTAAATAGAAAATAAATAAAAAAAAAGATGATTGGGGTTTTTTTCCACTATGTTTTAACCACTGGAACATGATGTTAAGTACTTATATTTCTCTTTTTAGGCAACGATGAGCAAGTTATACTCCATGATGTTGAAAGGTAAATACACAGTTTGTGTTTCCACCACTTCAAGAACTGCTTTAATGTCAACTCACTGGAGGCACTTTTTGTTTTAAATTAATGGTCTAGGAGAAGAGCATAATCCTGAAACTTGCTTTTTATTTATCTAAAGTCATAACTGGAATGAAGTGTTCTCCATTGCCACATTTTATGTCTTTTTCAGTGCTTGGGTTCTATATCATTTTCACCGCAGGAAAGAGAGTAGTTATTAAAGATACCTTCTTTCCTGCAGACAGCATAGTAGGTTCTGAGTAGATGCAGAGCCAGATTATTCTGGCATGTATACAAGTATTGGTACCTACTGAGTTTTGGGTTTTCAACACATTCAGCTGACTTGCATTTAAGATGGGTAGTGCTTGGCCTGCCTAACTACTGTTTAAAACTTTGGCTGCAGCTGCCTGATTCTCCACAGTAATGTGAAGCACATTTGTTTTGATACTTACTTTTTCACCAAAACTGAAAAACAGTTGGGAATTAGGCTTTGTTGTGCTACATCAAGATGAGACTGGTAGTCAAAATGTAATTAATACAGTAGTGCTTTGGACTTCTCTAGACATCATATCTTTTGAGCTTTCTTCTTTGGAAGTAGGAAAACTATTAAGTCAAAATTTTGGTCTGTACTAATAATTTCTGCAGATTTAAGCAATGACCAATTAACTTGAACTCAAGAAAATCAAGTATAAAGAAAAAGAGGCAGAGATATATGTAAGAACAGAGAAATATAAAACCTTAAATTTTTTTGAGTTGCCTGAAACCCATAACATAATTCAGACATATTTCTTGGTTTGTTCAATGCCTTTTGCATTGAATTGTTCAGTGTACATCTGCCTTCCATCACACCTTATGTCTGCTTCTTGTGTAAGGCTTACATGAGAGATGGACGAAAGTAACTTGGTCTTATTCTTCTGAGGCTTTCTCAGGAACAGTGAGGTGTTTGGGTTTTTTTTGTTGTTTTGGTTTTAACATTTGAAGGATTTTTTGGGGGTGAGGTGTTTTGTGTGGGTTTCAGTTGGGTGGGGGTTGTTCATTTTTTGGGAGAGTATTTTTGTTTTTATTGTTTTAGTTGAATGTGGAAATGTCAAAATTTTTAGATGCTGGTGATTACTGCGTTCTGACTTTTTAACCTTCTCAAGATCTTTGTTCTTGACACTTTTCTATATAACACATTTTTTCCTGCTATCTTGCTTAGATGCTTTAACAAGTCTTTTTGATATGTATGTATTTTTAATGTGTTTTTGTTATCAGGGGTTTTTTTAGCTAAGCTAAGTCCAGTTGTAATGCATACAGAATTCATTTCTCTAAAGCTATTTGTGTGATGTGCTGAAAGAAACCTTAGTAAACTGACACACTGAATCCTGTCTGATTTTTATGGAAAGTTACTCTGTCTTCTTGAATGATAACACTTGGTCTGTCAATTGCTTTTTCAGAGTTTTCGATAGCTTTTTCTGTTAGTGTTTTTTTGGCTGTTCTATTAATGGTCCATGAGACAGAGTTAGTAGATCTGTCACTGAGAAGATCAATTGCCATGTGAGCAAAATGCTCATTTTATGTTGGATCTCTTTGGTGGAGTTTCCATAAGGTATAGGGATTGTATACAAAGTGTATTCTCTAAAGAGGTAAAAGGGCTTTTTCAGAGAAATAAAACAAACCCAGAATCTTCTGACTTTGTATTTCAGCTTTCAGCCTTTCCAGGCCACTATTTCCTTCTTTTCAAATGATCTAAAAAATTGGGAAAACAATGGAGAATGGGTTTTTTCTTTTTTTCTTTTTTCTTTCTTTTTTTTTTTTTTTTTCCTTTTTTTTTTTATGGCTGTGGAATGGCTGTGGCATTTTGGGGGAAATATTTTTATGTTGTTGCGTTTTTTGCTGCTTTTTCTACATGGAAATATATATGTCCTGTCTATCCTGGAAAACCAAGAAAACTTACTGAAAAAGCAGTTTGGAAAGTTGCTCTTTTGTGAGGTTCAAGTAAACTTTTGGACAATACAGAAGTCTTTACTAAAAGATGAATTTCTGTCTTGTTTTCCTTTTTGCATTAAGTAGTAAAAATTTACTCCACACTCCCCAAGGCTTCTTTCCCTTCCCTAGTCCCTCCTCCCAAACCTAGTCTAATAGAACATGAGCTCCACAGTATCTTACAGTATCTGAAGTTTTTAATGTTTGGATTTTGGTCTGAGGGATTTATTTTTTACCTCATGGCATGACATCTCAGTCACTCTACATGGGCATTTTGTTTGGTTTTTACTCTAATTAAACTCCAGGATCTTCTTAGGGAGTTACATAAACTTTGTCACTAAGTGTTACTAGGTAGATAAAGCTGTTAATACTTTGCTTTTTAAAGCAATAGCAAAAGAAGGAAGAATGATAATACTGTGCATCTCGTTTCTAGCACTGAGACCTTGGATGTGTTTGCCCACGAAGATGCAGTGTATGGCCTCTCAGTGAGCCCAGTAAATGACAACATCTTTGCCAGTTCCTCAGATGATGGTCGGGTTCTTATTTGGGACATCCGAGAGTCTTCCCATGGAGGTAAGATCTCTAGGAGGAAAAGGTCATTGATTTAGGAAGAATTTGTGTGAGGCACTGTTGTGGTTTAACCCCAGCTAGCTGGCAAGCCCCACGCAGCCGCTCACATACTCCCCCACCAATGGGATGGGGGAGAGAATCAGAAGGGTGAAAGCTAGAAAAACCCATGGGTTGAGATAAAGGCAGTTTAATAGGGAAAGCAAATGCCGCACACACAAGCGAAGCAAAACAAGGAATTAATTCACTGCTTCCCATGAGCAGGAGGTGTTCAGCCATCTCCAGGAGAGCAGGGCCCATCACGCATAACAGTTACTTGGGAAGATAAATGCCATCACTCCAGATGTCCCCTCCTTCCTCCTTCTTCCTCCCACCTTATATACTGAGCATGATGTCCTGTGGTATGGAATATCCCTTTAGTCATTTTGAATCACGTGTCCCAACTGTGTCTCTTCCCAATCTCCATGAACCCCCAACTTCCTTGCCAGCGTGGCAGTACAGAAAGCAGAAAGTCCTTGGATTTGTGTAAGCTCTGCTCAGCTATAACAGAAACATACCTACATTATCAACCCTGTGTTCTGCACGAATCCTAAACATAGCCCCATACTAGCCACTGGGCAGAAAGTTAACTCCACTTCAGCCCAAACCAGCACAGCCAGGGAAGCGAAAGTTATGTTTATCTGGGACAATTGAGACAGTGAGTGTTGGAGAAGGGTGAAAGTGAGGCATAATTCTTGTGGCCAGTGATAGGCAAGCCCTGGCCTTTACAGTCCAGTGTTACTGTCTTAAATTACTTCTTAAAGGAGCAGGATATAGCACAGGCTAGTATAGAACTTGGTATGAATAGGTTTTAACTTGAGTAAAGAAGCAGTGGAGGGCATGTTTCTTAAATGACATCTTGCCAACCTTGCAATCAGTTGGGAATATTTTGTTTTGTTTTTTCCAATAGCCTGGGCTAAAGCATTTTTTGGATGATTAGAAAGCTGTTATTTTGACTGGAATAATTTTCCAAAGCTATTGTAGCTTCCTTGTGACCCTGAGACATTTACACAGAATGTTTTCTTTCTGGTTGTATGGAAACTTAGAGCCCTTATGCGATAACACAGAAGTTGAATTACTGCTTCAGTCTTTGTTTTCTGAAACAGAACTGTATATTGTTGATTTATATAACAAACCTGTAGCTTCTCAAAACACTGTGACCTGTGTTTTTACAGCTGTGGTTTTGAGGCTGAAGAATCTCAGTTTAGAGCTGTAGTTACATAAGTTTGAGAGGAGCACCTCAATAATTGAATTTCAGTGTATGAATACTTCAGTAATATTTCAGTAAATGAAGCTGCAAGTTTACCTCATCCTAAAGAACACAGAGCAATCTGCAGGAGTACAGAAAATTGTTTCCTTCATTCATAGTTAAATAAATGTTCATCTTTTTTTGTAAGCTGGTTAAGTGCAATTGCCTCAACTTGTAGTTTCTGCTAGTCTTACAGGATAATTTTTTTATGGCTGAAATTCAGCTTATGTCTTTTGTGGCAATTCATACACATTTGCTGTTGTGTCAAAGTTGCTGTTTAACCAAGTTAGCTTTTTCCATACCTAGTGAATTTGTAACTTTTCTAGACTGCAGGTCTCTCTCTTTCTGGCTAGGAAATGAAAGCTGAAACAAGACATACTTTATAGTCTCATAGAAGTCTTTTAGAGCCACTAGTATCACGAAGGCTTTATTGAATGAGAGTAACCAGGCTTAGGTCTGTCTTGATAAGCCCCACCAGAATACTTATAGTAGATTTCTTATAGATACCCTCCCTACCCCAGGCATATTTCCTTTGTAAAAGTATAAATAAAAGCTTAATATGCTAGGACTGTGCTCAATTTTGAGCAATTCTCTTGCACAATTGTGATACCACTTATCTCTTTTCCCATCTAATAATTTTATTAAGCATTCTGAAAAACAATGCACACAGTGTATGTGCATGGCAGATTTTAGTAAAAAAATCTGTACTGTCTCTTCTGTGTCCATAAGGACCTCATTAATAAAACCCTTCTTACTCAGAAGTCTCTTCTAGCACAGTGAGCTACTGCCTTTCCTTTAGCCAGTTTCTTACCCTTTGCTAATCCCAACTGCCTATAACTAAACTTGATACTGTACTATATGAGAATTTAGCCCTTATTAGATCTAGCCTTTTTCCCATGTACAAACGGTCAGTTACTCTATTAGAGTAAGAGATTAAAGTAGTCTGATGTAAGTATTTTACCTTTGGTAAATCCAAGTGTCACTTCATCCCTGATTTTACGTTTTCGTAATATTCAAATGGTGACACAAGACACGGAATATGGTTTCCAAATTCAAAATGGAGAAATGTTCCCTTATTGCCTTCTGAACTCTACACTGTAAACATCTGTTTCTGTTAGAACTACCTGTTGCTGATAGTGGTTGTCAACAGTTGAGAGGACTGGATGCTTAAATGTGTCTGTATGAAGCTGCTCAGTATCATAAGCTAATGTCCAGTCTGATCTGAGTTTCTCAAATTGCATGAAATGAAGTTTGTCCTTGTTTGTGGTAATTAAACCTTGCCACTGCTTTTACCATTGCTGAAGCGTCCCATAGGGAAGCTGGAGAGGGGCTCTTTGTTAGAAACTGTAGTGATAAGACAAGGAGTAATGGGTATAAATTGAAAGAGGGGAAATTTAGATTAGATATGAGGAAGAGGTTTCTTAATGTGAGGGTGATGAGACACTGGCACAGGTTGCTCAGGGAAGTAGTGACTGCCCTTGGCAGGGTTGTGTTCAAAGCCAGGCTGGATGAGGCCTTGAGCGTCCTGGTCTGGTAGGAGGTGTCCCTGCCCAGGGCAGGGGGTTGGGACTAGATGATTTTTAAGGTCCATTCCAACCCCTTAACATACTATGATACTTGGAATAAGGAGGCTGCAGCAGTTACATTGGAGTGTAGAAATGTTGTGTCTTAGGTTCTCTGAAATTTAAATAAAGGTTTTTTGCTTATATAGCAGTCCTGAGTCAGCATTTATATGTGACCCCTGCCAATGTTTACTGCAATATGATGCTTATCACTGGAGTAATCCCCTTGTCTGCAAAAGTATTTTCATGGGAATAGGCACTATGCCTGCTAGTGTGAGTACAGTAGTTACCCTGAGTGGCCAGCCTGTTAAAATCTTGCAAATAACCTCCTGGTTTTAAATAGCACATTAAAAGTAGCTGGAAAAGGGTTTCATTCCCCTTCTTTTTCTCCCTGTCTTTCACTGCCAAGTGATTTATGCAGTAATTTTTATAAACCCATTTTTAATTTTTATTAGAGGTAGTGTTGAGCTGCTCCCTTGAGAAACATGTTCATACTCCAATATGTAAGAGCTACAATTGTGAATGAGCATAAAGAACAATAAAAAAGTAATCCCTTGTCTTTTCATTAAAGTGACTTAGTGCCTTATTAATTTAGCTCCTGTAATCTCTCTTTGACAGACTGAAAGGCAACTTTTGATATCTGAGAAGAAAACCATGGTGCCAGGCTATTTATAATAAAGGTGTGATGGAAAGGACCAGTAATTAGTGGCAATGATTTGACTAAACAAATGTACACAAATCAAAAGTTTATTTTAAAAAGCACCTCTTTTATTTGGCAGTCTCATGGTGTTTGTCTCTCCACTCAGCTAATGCAGGCCTTTGCTTCTCAGTGGGGGCTGC